AATTACAATGAAAAACAATTCGAAGTAAAAAATTTGATTCAAATAACCTTTTTGACAATTTTATGAAACGTAAATATCTTATCATTCAAATCTAGGGGATTTTGCTTCCTGACCGAAATGTGAAGAAATACAGTCTAAAAATATCCTACGTTATGCAGATAAATATTGGAAATAAAAATTTATCACTTTTTATTTAATAAATAAAGTTAACTAAAAAATTCAATTAAATTTAACGAATAAATTTTTTTTTTAATATAAAATATTTTATCGCATTTAGGAGTTTACTATCTAAGCTAAATGGTTCTAAGTAAAAAGTGCCAATTCTGCAATTATTTCAAGTTCGGGTCTTAGGAGGTTAATACTTATTAAGTTTAATGCAAGCTTTCCGTTTAATGCAATAATTTTCGACAGTATATTATTTAATTTAATAATAATTAATATAAACTATAAGGTAGTCATCGAAGTTTGTTACTTTTACATCAAGCCAAATTACTTAATTCTATATCAATCTTGCAAAATAATAGAAAATAGCGATTTAAGAGCTAAGTTTTATTAAACTTGAAAGTAATTTTTTTAACATAATTACTATATATATGAATTCTTATAAATCTTTTATATAGAAAGATAGTTTCGTATTATTCAATTGCTTGTTTTAAGAGTTTTGATAAATACCTTTCTTTTAAGTTAACGATACCAAAAAATTGTAACATCCTCCAAATCAGCTTCTATTAGTTTTAAGAGTAATAAAATTAAATTTCAAAAAAAATCTGTAAACCGTCAAATGTGTTGTCTCAAATTACTTATTCAAAACCACAAATCGCATAACTACATTGTTTTAAAGTGTTGAGGAAATAGATATTGAAGTTCCAAAAATTATCAAGTATTATTTCTGCTGTGCAATAAAAAATCACTGGAAGCTATAGAAAATTCAAAATTGAGGTTTTAATATATTAGGCATATTGACATATTGCAAAAAAAAAAGTATTAAAAATTGTCAAATTAATATTGAAAATTAGATATTTTGCAAACCTGAGCCACTCCATCCTTTTTATACAAATAAATAAATAAAAAATTTATTCTTTCCTCAATTTAAAATATTTTTTTAGAAAAAAGAACTATATTTTTTGTCCTTTGGGGGGAAAAGGGGATGAAGTCCGTTAACTTATCGTAAAAAAGAAAATACATAAATAAACAAAAAAAAATTAGGATCTAATTTTTAAAAGCTTTGCACTCTAAGTAAAAATTTAATACTCTAGCTAGCCAGATAGTGGTCAAAATTTCGATGAGAACATGGGGTTCAATTCTGTGAGAAACGGTGAGGAAAATAATGAAACTCCTGTTGAAGTTTCAGTTAACAAAGACACAGATGAGCACTATTTAAAATTTAAGCACAGTAGGTCAGAAAGTGGCCAAAATTTTTATTTGACTTCGTGACAATCGTGTTTTTTTAACAATCAAAATCGATTCGAACCAACACTCTTAAAGTAGTAGGAATTTTGATTTATAACTGATTCATTTTAGCGATAAAATAACGTCTAATTCTGCTAGCAACAATCAGAAAATGATTCACAATTATACTGTCATCGGACATTAGACGTCAATCAAAATCTGAGCATATATGCTCAGATTTTGATAGTACTATCTATACTATATTGATATACTATCTATGATAGTATTTGATTTGGATAGTACTATCCGAAAAGAGGCCGGAATCTCGATTGCAATATTTAAACACTAAAGCCAAGAAAGCAAGTTAATAAAAACGTAGTAATTAATAAAAGGAACATTTTGACGGAAAAGTTCGGGAGCAGACCTGCTTGGTTGGATGGTAGAGTAGAGGGCATCATTAGATAGATGTTCGAGAAAAACCCGGTCATCATATTCGATTTCACTTTCCCGGTCCTATAAATTGGCCCCTTACCTGGCCTTCAAAACACCTTAAAGGCCCCAGCTCAATAGACGGTCTCTGAAATTCAAAATTAAAGCAGTAAAAAAGCTGTCCTAATCGAAAGCCACAAAACTAGGACACTTAGAAAGTACTCACGAAAAAAGAATATATCCACAGGGGGGCGGGGGCTAATTTTCGTTGCTGATCACGTAACGTCGCCAAATTTTTCAGTAATGCTTATGCAACGGAGAAAGTTATCGGCCTCTCTGTACGGGAACAATACATAATGTTAATATAATAGAGCTTATGCAATAAAATGATTTGTCTTTCTATGTGTAGAAAAAAAAACTATGTAATTATCGTCCATAAAAAAAAGACTATAAATACAGTTGTAAAAAAATTAACTCAAGATAATAGTAGGTAAGCGTATGGGCCTCCTTTACACTCTACAAAATGTTAATGAGAACCCCCGCCCAAAAGAAACTGAGAATGCAAAATGAAACTATAATTTTGTGTTGATTAACTTGCGCGACAAAACGAAAACATCCTTAGTAGTAGAATGAGTTTAAATTATTTATTTTGGTTTAGTGAGTTTTAACAGAAGTTACACACTTTTTATTTGCGCACACTCTACGCCAAATAAACAAAAAGATCACCCTAAATAAATTTTGATCGGATCTTCATGTCTATAGGACTCCATCTTAATGGTTTGAGAGGACGACCTCAAATATGGTAACTAATTAGCGCAGACGATATTTTAAATTACGAAATCAGACACAACGTACTTTTTTTCCCTGACGGATTGGGATTTCTGACCCCCGAAATACGCATCATCAAACTAGGAAATATGGTCGTCCAAAATGGTATGGTCAGAGGAGAGGACGTTAAATCTGTCGGGTCACAAAATCCTCCATGTTCCCATAACTAATTATACCTCTGGGAGAACTGGATAGGATCGTTCTCTAGTTCAGGTCAAAATTGGTGTGCCGCAGAAGTCTTAATTGTTTGCCATAGATGGAATTGCATCCGTCAGTGCTTTAATAGCCTATGACAACAACATAAAGTACCTCAAATTTCCAAGCTCTCTCTCTTGACAAAAATATAGCAATCGTTTTTGCCGGATTGCGATTACTCTTCAGATTTCGATGGTCGAATCAACCAATAAAAAAAAAAAAATAATTAGGGATGGTTCATGTTTGTGTTGGATTTCGTAACTCTACTAAGGGTTAGCAAAAACTAATTAGCTTATTTGGGGTCATCCCCGGAACCTTTAAGATTGGCTCTTCATTCGTAAAAATATAATTATTAGAACAAAAATTCAAGGTGCTGAATTTTTTCTTCAGTTCATTAAATCTCTTTCCAGACGGATATAATCGCTCTGCTACACAGAAGATTATTAATAGAAAAATTGTAGCTAAAGACATTCTTAGTACTGTTTTTAAGTTCCTTAGAACAGAAAACACTTTTTAAAAACCACCCCTTTAAAAAAGAAGCACCTTTAAGGGCTTTAAAAAAACGAAAATAAGCATTTTTAAAAACGCTACGCACCATGTTATTTACACAATTTCTTTTGATGTACTGTTAATATTTCCTTTCAAAAATTGGCTATTAAGTTGTGTGCAGTAACAATTTATTCCGCTGTATGCTTATTTGAAACTAAATATCAAAGCTAAGTCAATAAGTATGGCAGTTAGAAGCATAGGTTTCTGTAATACTTCTACATGTTAGTTTCACTTAATTTTATTTTAGGTAATTTAAGCGCCGTAAATTTTTACCCATTTTCATTAAAAAATTTGCCATAATGCTTCTTGAGATTAAATAAGTTTATAGTAAAAATTTATTATAACCTATATTGTCTCGTGTAATTGAAAAAACTAAACAAGTGCTTCATGAAAAATTTTGAGAAAAATGGCAGAACAAGTAATTTCCTTCTATTGATACAAATACTAAAGTAGAATTTCAAAAAATTGATCAAACAATTTTTTTTTAATTGCAGAAATTGTAAAATTGAGATTTATTAACATACTATATATAAAATCTCAATTTTAAATTTTTTGTTCGTTACTTTGATTTTTCTATAGCACTGTATAGTTTGTCTAAAGTAAGAACTCCCCTAGCCATTCACCTGGACCCATGGAAGTGACTATAGTAACGAAGCATAATTATTTAAAGTAGGGGTGTGGGGTCATTGTTTAAGACAGGTTTGGGCTCGTGTCTGCGAGAAAGTGGGAACCTTTTTCTTTGGTCTATTGTGCTACCACTAGAGTGAAGAGAAGTTACCCTCTCTGAAATGCACTATTCTTGTTTCCATAGCAGCAGACAGCCTCAGACTTCGTGGCGGGGTAAGTTCTTGCCATAGACAAACTGTAGTATGTATGTATAGTGTCTAATTGGTACGCCTTCATCAGTAGAATGGCAATCAAAATAGGGAAATGCCAGTAGTCAATTCTTCAGAAGAAAGTTAAGTGTGTAGGGCTTCAGCTGTAAATATTGCATCCTACTTTCTTTATTAACAATTATATAATTTTTTTTTTCTGATTTAGACATTTCATTTTTAATTTATGAAATTGCATGAGCATAGGTAATTTTTATTCCCAACATATTAAACAGGTTTAAAACAAGTTTTTAAAACCTAAAAACCATGCCAAGAACTGCATGTGAAATAGGTTTTTTGCAAGTCAAATATGTTTTAAATATTGCAAATTTTAAAAATAAATACACAAAACTTTACTAATTTTAAAGACCAGTACTAAAGTAATTTTCATTAATGCATTAATATGCAATAGATTGGGTGTAATATTTTTTGCTACTAAAGAACCTTAATTGAATATGCTTTTTAAATTACCAATTTGAATAATAAATATTGTATTAATTTTTATATATTTGTAACAGAATTTAAATTTGATGATAATTCTTTTTAGAAATTTAAAGATTATTCATAGAATATACAAAAATTAAGAGAATTTTGGGGTACAATGCAATCATGTAATGCCTATAGTTGCCACAAACTCCCATGATAATAGCATTTAAAATTCATAAAATATAGTGCACTTGCTTTTCAAAAAAATTCAACAGTTTCATTACAATGAAATAGGTTCTAAATGCTGGAAAATAGCAATTAACAATTCTTTATTCAATAAATTTAATTTACAAGATTGCCATTTAATGATAACTACATGCAGAAAACATCAATGCAGTAACTTATATTAAAATTACTTAATCATAAAATTTATAATGCTCATTGAATACTTAATCATAAAATTTATAATGCTTAATTTATAATGTTTTGAACAGTGAATTAAATATCAAAAGAATTTATAACAATTTGATAAGCATATTAATAATGATATAAAGTAAATTTAGATGAAACTTGTAAAAGCAATTCAAATTAAAAAGTTCTGAAACAAACAATCCTCAAAGAACACTACCTGTAGAAGATAAGATCACAAATATGACTTTTCTACTTTTATAAGAATTTTGACAAATAAATTCAGAAAATGAAACTTTGTATACAGAACTGCCATGCATAATTTTTTGTAACATACATAGTACAAAGAAAAAGCTATTTTTAAGCCAGTATTGAAGGAATTTATTTTGCATATAGTTTTGCATGGAATGAAATGTACGGTAGATTAAGTAGGAAAATACAGAAAAAATGTCGATTTTAAAAATAACTTGAATGACAATAATTTGTATTTTAAAGTAGATTTTTTTAAGCAATTTAAAAACAATATTAGTAAGACTAGTTTTGTCTGGCAGAGACTATTTTTCAAATTTTTGCAAGATCTTTGGTATATCAAGTATTTTCTACCATACATGTCATAAAATTTGAAATATATATATTTTTTTAAAGAAAAGTTAATCTTGTATTATGAGTATTTCCATGTTGCATTAAAATACTTAACATTTAATTAAAAATAATAATTTAAAAGTTTGAGACTGCTGCAAAATTGCTGCCAAAACATCCATTTAAAATACAATTATAAACATGTCTTTATTATTTTTTCAGAACAAATTTTGAAATAATTTCATTGTTGAAGACAGGAAACAAATCTGTGCTTTTTAAAATACTTTGCCATTAGATAATATATATATATATTAAAAAAAAAATAAAAGAACTAAAAATTTATTGTCAAAGTTCTCCATAATTTTCAACCTAAGACAAACTCATCAATAAAACAATTATGTATTACATAACATATTAATTTCATTTATAAAACTAAGAGAAAAATATTAAGTACCTATTGTAGAGTAATATAAATTAACTTAATAACATAAAAATGAAATAGCAAATAACTAAGTCATTATTTTTATGGAAAAGCAATTTATAACTGCTTTAATATTTTATATAACAATACAAACATATAAGCAACACTGATATATTAAAATTATTTGAAGTAGAAGAATAAATATTCAGTTACAATCTGACTGTTACTATCACTCCATTTTATTTTTTAAAAACATTGATTCAAATTATTAAAAAGTTAGAAATGAAAAAATTAGCTTTACTTTTCAAGAGAATAAGTGTAGTGAAAGTAAAAGTTATAAACCACTCTAAAGTACCTATTAAAAAAAATTAAAAAGTTTTATAAACAAGTTTATATAACATTTTAAAATACAATAATTTGCATTACAAACAGAAAAACTTTTATTTACTATCAGAAAGAGATGTTTAAAGAATTTTTTTTCGAAAAAAGTAATATTGCCTAGTAGCTTAATTCATTACTTAACAGTTATCCATGCAAAAAAATTTGCAAAACATTTTAAAATAACATTACTGATTAATTGTAAGTGGTTTATATAATCTTTTAACTAATTGAATTGGTGCAAAACGTTCACTAACAGTGATTTAATTTTGTCCATTCCAGTAGCAAAGAAGCAACAACAATACAAATTTAGCTTCTCAGAAAAATTAATACTCATCAGGGGTCTGTCCAGGCCGAATTTACTACCGTTTAGCAGTACCTTCAAAAATTCAACTTTAGGAAAAACGGTAGTTTCACAAATTCAATTTTAGGAAAAAGGGTAGGTTTTACAAAATACTTTTTCTTAAAATTTTATTTTTGTATCCCTTAAACAACGATAAATCCATATTTTTGTGTTGATTTTTTCTAATATAATCTTTAATTTTTCACAAATTATGTCTAAATTTTCACAAAATAGGTACCTCTCAGAAAAACCTAGACACACCCCTGCTCATCCATTAGCAAGATAACAGACAAAAATATTAGAATACAAAATTGAGGTGTCCTTTAGATTAGAAACTGCATCTTGGAGTTTTTACTGTTCTTAAAAACTTCTATTTTCTATCGCTTTGACCTTGATTTCTTATTAAAAAATCACTCAAATAAGATGGACACACAAATATAAATTTTTAATGACAATTATAAATTTTTTTGCCTAAAAATGATCTTAAAGTGTTAAGAATGATGGTAGCATTTAATAAGATTAAGGAGTACTGCAAAATGATGTGCAGATTCAAAACAATATTAGTCTTATGAAACCGAATTTATGAAGTCACCATAAGAAAAACCTGATTTTAAAATTATAAAAGAAATGTAGAATATTACACACATTGCATATTTTTTCTTTCATCATTAAGATTTTTCTATGTTTCATTTCAAAAATAAAATTCACCAGGGTCAAATAAAAAACTAGCTAACACATTGTTGACACAGCTTGGCAATTGTCAGCAAGTTTTGCCTGATACCAGGCTAAAGAATAAGTACGGGGAAACAAAACAAAGATGTAATTTTGGTTACAGTGAAGAACTGGATGCATCTTGATTTGGACATAGAATTGAATTGAAAATATAATTTTAGGTTATTCTTTATTAAACTATTAAAATTTCCTCTGAAAAAACTTAGTCGATAAAATAATTTTCCAAACACTAACTTCAGCCAACCGAGCATTTTGCAAAGGGCCCGAATATTCGTAACATCCTTAATTTTCATTTAATATCTTGGCTAAAAAAAAAGAAGAGCTAATTTAAATCAAAAATTCGTGTTTATAAAGTAAGAATTTTTCTACACCCTGGTTAGAGTTGGGAGTCTTAAAATTTCACAAAAAAAAATTCTTCGTGGATAAAATAATTTTCCAAACATTACGAATATTTCGTAAAGAGGCCAAATGCCGAATATTCGTTACACCTTTAACTTTCATTCATTATCTCAGTTTTTTAAAAAAAGAGCTGATTTAAAGCAAAAATTCATACTTATAAAATAAATACAGGTTTTTTCTACACCCTGGTTAAAGTAGGGAGTTAACCATAAGAATTTGTGACAATATGACAAACATTAACTGATGTTATATAAATTATTTGAATGGAAACCATAGAGAAGCATCAAAATAAAAGTGCTCCAAAACCTAAAGTCCTCTTCATACTCTCCCAGTAAAACCTCTTCCAACCTTCACGGGTATTATCTAATTCAGTCTTTGGTACTCCTACTTGAGTGACAATCACCTCAGTACAGTCCAACTTCTGATTGATATCAATCACAACATCCGAGAAGTGTCCTTCAGGCCAGGATTTGAACCTCCATTTCTGTTGTATTGTTTTATTAGGAACCAGTTTCACAAAATGGCCATGGACATTTCCATCAAAAAACTCAAACTTGCCATCGACTTCGGGTTCGAGGACACAATTCCCTTGGGTGAATGCCTGAACCAACTCCTTAACCGTCAGAGCTCGGTAGAATTCATCGGCGGTGCATTTAAAAGTTTCGGTTGTTTGCAGCTCACCGGTTTCCATTGGTTTCGTCGTTTTTGGGGACTTCACAGAGATCGCTTCGTTGTTGTTAGATTTTTTCACAACTTTCTTTTCGTCAGACGCAGCGGAACTATCTTTGGTGGGTAAGATGAGACCCTGAGAAAATTCTTCCTTCAAGCAGTTGATGTACTTAGCCAATTTCTCCCTTATAATCTCAGCTCCGTTTGTTCGCATGACATCTTTCAAGATATCGGACTCGGAACCGGTGGTTTCAAGTTGCACAGTGATATCTACATCTTTAACATCGTGGTGTTCTTCGCTCAAATTGGGTACTTCAACGGTGCCTTTGACGGTAGATTCACCATTCACGAGACTACCAGACCACTTTAGAGTTAATACCCATTCATAGAAGAAAATGAGTTTAGCTTTGCGATTATTCACCACTGCATCACCCTCGCATTTTGACAATTCGGTTATCTCGCACTTGCCGAAATCGGTTTCAATCTTAATTCCTTCGAGAAGCTCTTTTAATTTATCTTTGGACCAGTGCGATGCATTTTTTTCCGTCCAGTGCCAATTATTTACATTTTTTGCATCAGGCCTTTCTTCAACCAACCATCGTGGGTCTCCTTCTCCCCATTTAGCCATACTCGATAGTTAAAAAAGTTAGCAAATTACTAAGTAAACGATTTAAATACCTCAGAATTTATATGAAGACACTCTTACGAAAGAAAAATTAACTTTTATCTTTCGAAAAACGCGATGAACAAGAAATAAATAACAAAACCCGGCTTAAGAGCAGAATTCTAGAGAAAATACGTTGCCATACCATTCTAGAAAGTTCTTTTTAATGTTTCAATTACGATTCTATCGATGAATGTATAGTAAAAGTAATGTATTTCTTTAAATTACATTTTCCATTAAAATAGTGAAATTACCAAGATTTGATTTGAAACTACAAAACTCAATTTTTAAAATTAATCTATGCATTGATAGCAGAATTGATTTTTCTTCTCATTCTGCCCTTTTCTTCTAAAGTATTCTTAATTTTATGAGGTTTTTTTGTTGGCAGCAGCGTAACTTTCCACTAGCAGAATCTTGAAATTTCGATCTGTTATTATTGGAGATTTTCGATATTTATGTTTATTTTGAATTTAATATAATAAATACATCTAGTAAACAGAACGTAAGTAGGCTAGCTGAATTTAAAGATTGTGTTTTTATAACCAAAAGTTGCACATAAACTATTTATCATGAGTGATGAAGATAAGTTTGACGGCATTTTGCTGGCTATGGCACAACAGCATGAAGGTGGTGTGCCTCAAGTAAGAAACTCAAGAAAATTAATTATTCTCTAAAAGATAAACTTATTATTAACTAAAAGCTTTTTTATCAAATTACTATATAGATTAATTAAGCATGATTTCCGTAAGCAAACTTATATCGACATCAATTTTGCGTTTTGAAGATTATCCTTTTCAGGCGGCATATAATATTTGATGTTATTACAATACTGATAAAATTATTAAAACCCATTTCATGTTGGAGCAATCTGTAAAATGAAATTAACATTCCAGTGTAAGATCTGGTCAACTGCAATAACCAATTTATTAGAACAATTCACAAAATTTTTATCTGCATCATTGAGGCCTTTCACAAAAAACTAACCCTTTTTCAAATCCCATTTTAATAAAATGTATTATTGATGCTTTATTTTTTTTTAATGTTTTATTGTTATGTTATGCGTTTTTAAAAAGTGCTTAGTTTTGGTTTACATTTTTTAAAACTCCTAAAGGTGCTTTTTTTTTTAATTTGGGGTTTGTAAAAAGTGCATAATTTTCTATCTTTTAAAAATAGATTTTTCCTTGATTGTCGTTCTAAATTACAAAAAAATCATGATTTTCCCAATTTTTTCTGAATTATTTTATTTCATCATGATTATGTGAAGTTTGTGAAAATGGTTTTTAATTTTATTGATTTTATGTTCATAAATAAAGAACTTGAAACGATAGAAATTTTTTTTATTACTACGCAGACCCTAATTATGTTTTTTTTTTTTGGAAAGTGATTAAAAATATTTCTTCAGTTGCTTTAAAGGTGCTTATTTTTCGTTGAAAAATCTGGCTACGCACCCTGCAAGACAAAAGATAATTTTCATTTGTATGAGGAAAGTTGCTTCTTTTGTGTATGATTTTTTGTACAATGTTATTCTTGGTGATTTCAGTTAGTGCGAACTAGGGCTAGAGAAAGATTAATGAATTTATTACGCATGCTAAATAATTGTTAAGTTTTGGCAACTTCGAGGCAATGGTACTCGTGAAAATTTAAACAAAAGAAGGAAAAAAAAAGATATCTTAGTACCAGGGTTGGCAGGTTTTTGACATATGACAGTTTTTGACAAGTTTAAACCATGGTTTAAACCGTCACGTCAAAAACCTCATTGTCGAAAATGTCAAAAACCTATATTCATATGTGAAATTTAATTAATACATAAAATTTATATATTTTTTAAAGGATAGTGTTTCTAAATATGTTCTAGAAAAAATAAATTTAAAATTTTGAAGAAACTCCTATATTTTGAATAGTAACCAAAATCTTGTACTTTTGAAAACTCACATCTTTTGTAATATTATGTATTCATTTTCATGTGTTATTGAAAATCTGCAGTGATATTATTAAGAAATTTATTTATAACCAAATTTAGTGTATAGTATAGATTATACTAAAAATTAGACATTTTTAAAGATAAACATTAGCAGTTTTGTACATTAGACATCTTCTTTTAAAGAAAAATCTTTTTAATATTCTTTTAAATCTTCTTAATAATCTTTTTAACATAAGACAATACAAATTTAAGTGCTTTCTGTTAAATACACAGAGTAGTTAGTGTCGATTTACAGTATATTCAGCCTATTCATTTACTATGCTGAAAATTTAGTTTATCCAAATACTTGTGAATTTCATTTTGCTGAATACTATATAGTTTTGTTGAATATCTAAATATTCAGCTGTTGAATAATTACTTCTTGCTTTCAAGATATGCATTATTTGTATTCTTAATACAAGTGGAGAAAAAAAAATTAAGAGATAAAAATTGTTTTAAAATGATAAGTGTAATAATTATAAATAAATATAATAAACAATATGAATTATATTTATCATTATTCACAAATATAACTACTTTTAAATTCAAATTAACATACTGGATAATAAAGATATTCGGTATAACATTAAAATTTTTTTTCATACACTTGTATCAAGTTTGTATTTATACAACATAACTTGTAAGTTCCTTATAAATATTAGTTATATGTTCCTTATATGTCAAAAATGCATAGTAATAAACTTTTAATTTTCTTAAGTATCAAAAAGAAAGAAAAAAAATTTTAAATATAAATATTTAAACAATTTTTGTGCAAAATTTTTCTGCACATGCATTTGAATATAAATTTCTGAGATTTTAAATCTGTTATTTTACCTTAATTTTAATTAAAAAAATTTTAAAACCTGCTGATTACCTATAGTATAATTAAATTTCAATATAATGCATGGCAACTGTTGGTAGTTTTGAAGTTTATATATTTTCTTGGCAAACTTCAGTTTTTGACATTTTTGACGGGTTTTTGACGGTTTAAACCAGTATTATACCCTTGTCATGTCAAAAACCACTTTTTGATGTCAAAAACCCAACCCTGCTTAGTACTCATATTTATTCGCCCTAGGCAAGCCATTTTATTTTATTTTCAATTTCTTCCAAGTTGAAGAGGCGGGGGTCTTCAGTTAGCGCAAGCAAGTAAGTACCAATATGCAGGGGTCTGTCTAGGTTTTTCTGAGAGGCACCTATTTTGTGAAAATTTTGACATAATTTCTGAAAATTAAAAATCATCTTGTTTTTAATTTTCATAAATTATCAATTTCAAAAAATCAACACAAAAATATTGTAAAAATATGGATTTATTGTCTCTTACTAGACACAAAAATAAAATTTTAAGAAAAAGTATTTTGTGCAACTACTGTTTTTTCTAAACTTGAATTTGTGAAGGTACCGCTAAACTGTAGTAAATTTGGCTTGGACAGACCCCTGATATGGCTTATAAATAATACTTATACAGACCCCTATTTTATAAATCAAGATTGCATTTTTTCAATAATATGTTAAGATATTTAATAAATAATAATTATTAATTTTGTAAGATCTAACATTTTAGTAGTTTAGTTATTCTAGCTTTAAATCACTAAAATATTTTTTTTTTTAACGTACGGTTCATATTTGAAATTCATCAAATCAAATGATTTAATTTTTCAATAAATAATTCTATTATTTCTCAATTGCAGTTATTGGAAACCATTTTCAGTTTTTTACTCCGAAAAACAGATTTCTTCACTGGTGGTGCACCAGGTGCTTGTAGAAAAGTAAGTTTATTTGGTGAATAAGTTATTCATTTTACTTATAAAATCTTTTTACTTTTTTCCTTAATATAGCTTTTGATATTAACTTGATTATTAATTCAAAGTTCTATATTATATTTATTAATAGTTTTAATTAAGATAACAGTATAGGAAACTGGTTGAAATTATTGTATTTTTATTTTATATTCAAGATAAATAAAATATTATATATATATTATTAATATTGGATTAAATATTGTAAGTATATCAAATTTGACTAAATATTCTATGCACATAATATTTAGACACGCCAAATAATTAGTATTGGGCTAGTTAAATGCTAACTGTTTGGTTTGTTGTTGGCTGAGCATCAAAGTAATTAGAGCAGATTTTATGCAAACACAATTTAAGTAGTAGATAAATGTATCGGTCTACGGTAAGAACCCCCATCACAAAGTCTGAGGTTGTCTGCTGAAATAAGAATAATGCATTTCAGGGAGCTTTTCTTTACCATAAGGCAAACACAATAGAAAAAAATATTCTCTTTTTTTTCACCAAACCAAAACCTGTCCTAAACTACTATTTCTCAACAACCCCCACAACCCTATTTGGAGCCAGGTGAATGGCTTGAGGAGTTCTTACTTTAGACAGGACCCCACGTGTAGCATTCATTACCAGCTGGTGCAGTGGAATAAAAAACACAAATTATTATGTAAAAAGAGTTTACATGTATGTAGATGACGCAGTCAATTTGGGCGTGCATAGTGGCACAACCCTTTAACTAAGTAAATTAAAAAATATGATTTTTAAAAATGACCATTTCATTTCAATATGTATGTCTTTATATTAGTTCATAAAGTTTAATTTTCAAGATTGAATTTTGGCTAAAAGAATCTTATAGCTCAAAAATCAATTTCTGCTTATTAAAGTTAATGTTAACTCTTAGAAGTTTCTTAAATATGTTCTAAATTTCATATCAACTTTATTCAAAATGTGTTATATCAAATTTTGTTTAACAAATTTTTACTTTGACCATATTGATAATGAAATTATAATTAACTTGTCAATTGTTTTAAATTTGACCAATCTTCTTTCTTTTATTTATTTATTTTCATTCACTCAAGATTTCAAATAGTTTTAGCGTGTAATTGTTTAAATTTAAAAATATTTCAAAATTTTTTTTTTAAATACTGTGACTAGTATTTTAAATTTAAGACATTAATAACTATTAATTAATTAATAATTCTTAAATATAAATTAATTATTGTTTTAAAAATATGTTAATACATGGTCATTTATTATAATTTAAAAGTAATTAAATAAACATTAAGAATATTTTATATATTTTTCATGATTATTATTTTAGAAATAAAATTAAATCATTCCATTAGTTTTAAAAGAAGAAATTGAGTATTACTATTGATAATTTATTCAAAATATCACTTCTATTTTTTTTTTAATTAAAAGTTTTGCAAATTTCCTCTATCCCTTTAATCAACCCTGTAAAAAATTATATAAATCAACCCTTTAAAAAAATGATAGGCTTTGTCTAATTTTAATTTGGAATTTTTCACAATCTTCAAAAATAACCTGCCTGAGTGAACTACAAATAACTGTTTTAATTTATTGAATTTCTTTAGATGTGGATAATAATAAGTAATATGATAATTTTAATGGTTTCAACAATTTTATCTGGAAACTGTTACTAGTACCTGTGTAAAAGTAAAGTTTTTTTTTCTCTACTAGATGCTTTTAGAAAAATTTTCAAAATTTGAAAGTATGGCTTTAGAGGAATCTAGGAAAAAAGAAGCAGAGAAAGAAGAAGCCGAAAGGAAAAGGAAAGAGCGCCTCACTCGCAAAAAGGAAGAGGAAGAAAAAATGCAAGTGGATGACAATCGAGTGACAGAGTTAACAGACGAAGAAGCAGAAAAACTACAAAAAGAAATGGATGAAGTATTTATAAATGATTTATTTGTTTATAATTTCTATCTCAATATCATCCTTACAAAAGTAGTCTTTAAATTCAATAAACAAAATGTTTTTTTTTTTTCCCCTCATTCAATTTTTCTCCAAACAGTAACTTTTTTGTCCTTAAGCAATATTTCTCAATAAAATATAAATTTTTATTATTTAATGACATGTTTTGCCTAAAATACTCACAAAGAGTAGAAAATATTTGGATCAGACACATTTTGTATTTAAATTATATTTCTAAAAAGATATATAACTTCCAGGTTACAAAGAACACTCTTCTCTACAGAACAGTAAATTTTTATTTCATTACCTTTATTCATTTTTATTTCATACTTTGGGTCAAGCTTAATTAAACTTTAAAAATCTGTGTGTAACTTTATTGAATGTAATTAATGTTCTTCTAATTTTCTTCTCAGAAATTTCAGGCTGGTAAAAAAAATTAATTTGTACAAAATGTAATAATAATTATAAAATATGGATAGTTTAATTAAAGAAATTAAAATAATTTTTCATCTCTTAAGTACTGTTATGTATCTTTAATTACTGTTATTGTAATCACTGTCTCTTTCTGCAATATATTTAACGAGATAGTAATTACTATAGATACTTTATTTTCTAAAAACTTTTAATGTGTTTGGTTGTGTTATTATATATTTAGTTTGTCAGATTTCAAACAATAATAACAAGAAACATTTTTATATGACAATAACATTGTTTGTAAACATATGAATGCCAGTATAAAACTCAAGAGCAAAATTATGACTATTATATTATTGAGATAAAGTTAAAATTATCTACTTCTAAGTGTTATGATAGCTAAGAATGCATTCTGTTTTGAGTTCCAACTATAGTTTGATTTAGAAAATTAAAATATTAACATTGTAAAATAAAACTGATTATCTAAAAAAAGAAGAAAATTGAGACATAGCTTTATTTGTCTTAAATTTTTTAAATTATGAAATGGAAATTTTTGTTGATATATTTTATGTATTTTGATTGAATTTTTTTTGATATATTGTAATTAATATTTTTAAGAATTGTATTGTTTTGAATATTTGCTCAATTATTTTAAACTTTTGCACTCCATTGACCCCTATGAGGTAACGTTCAAAATACACCACTTTGAAATTTAAAAGTTTTGTATTTTAATATTTCGTTATGACATTATTTTATGATTATTAGTTATTATATAGTAATATGGCATCATATATTTTAAATGCATTAGCACTTACATTTAAATAATTTGTAAAAAGCAACAAAGCTCATATTTAAGTAGGTTTTGTTAAGAAATGAGAAAAAAGAAGTTGATTTACTAACCTTTTTTTCTTTCTTCCTGTTATTACTACAATTATTATAACTTCGTACATTTTTAAAAAAAATTTCTCAAATTCATTTGCCATTTTTAAGCAAATAATCTTGATTACATGCTAAAAAGTTAAGCAAAAATTTTTAATACATTTTTGAAATTTTCATTTTGTGGAAATATATTATATTTTAAAGAGCATACATATTTTAATGTACCAGAAATGGAGCCCTCTTTGTATTTTACCAAAATATTTTAATCTCAATGGTATCACAGAATATTAATTTTATAAGAAAATTCTGTAATTTAATTAATGATCTATCGGCAAAGTGAAAATAAAATGTATGCCATGTTTAGTTAAAAGTTACATAATAGTCTCTTCTGGTTCTGTTTCACTCATGAAATGTCTATAAACTTCAACAAGCTTTTTTGGGACCCAAACTATTTCGCAGTTTGGACTAAACAAGTCCACACGTAGAAAATCTGCATTCGACAGCTGCTGAGCTTGCTGGGCATCCAGCTAACTAAAACATAAAATGAACAAATTCTTTTGTATTCTCCACCACACATTTTTATTAAATAATAAGTGCGGATACACATTTGATCTTTTATTCTGAAACATAGAACTAGAATTAGCCATTCAGTATTTTTCTTATATACCCCATCCTCTGCCTCTTTCCTCATGTATTGGGAAAATCTTTTTAAAATTCAGTTTACTAGCTAAAAAATGGAAAGGTGTACGGGCTTGATCACACCTCTTTTAAATAATTTTTTCATATGGAGTAGTTAATATTCACATTGGAGTTCAAATTCACATTGTCTGTTTGGTTTAAGTTCTGGTTCTGTGTTACTTTTCAAATTAAAAGTTTTGTGTGGTTGATAAATAACAATTAAATGCCTTATAATTTTTTGTTTGCTGATAGTGGTCAAACCTAAATTGTATATACTGAAGAGGGGGGGGGGGTTGGGAAGCTATTGGGTTAAAAAGAATATTGGGTGTTTTTTCTAATAGGACTGTCTTTTAGTTATCACCAAACTATATTTTAAAATATTTATAGGACATAATTTAAATAAAATTGATTGAAATTTAAAACATTTTTGGCTATATCTCATATAAATGAAAAAACAATAATAATTTGTTTGTTAAGCTTTTTAAAAAAAATATATGTATTTAACTTCCAATATTAACACCTTATGCTGTTAAAGATTTACATAAAATTATATACTAATGATATTATATACCAAAAAAATTAAATCCCAATAAAACTTTTATGGGTTTCGCTTTTTTTTTTTGAGGTGGTTTTTTTTCCAGCCCTAGCAACAACTACGGGTTGGTAACTTCTGTCTTAGATCGTTGTTTTGTTAAAAAAAAAAAAAATTATGTTCAACGTGTACATTTTAGTTGTTTAAGACAATTATATTGCGAGTTTAAGTTAAAAATTTTATACTTAAATTTTCAACAAATGGGAAAAATTAAATTATATAGCGTTATAAAAATCTTCTTGTTGTGGTTAAAAAAATTCATTAATTCTAATTTTTGGATAAGTAGCAATTAGGAAAAAGCTACTGTTAGGTTTATATTGAGATCATGTGAAATTAAAAAAATAAAAGGCAATGCATTTGTTTTTATTGTAATTGTCATTTTCTTTAAAGAGAAATATTTATTATTCTTTAGTGAACTTGTTTTCTGAATTCTGACTAGTATTATTTATGACTAAAAAAATTATGAGTCTGTGAGTGTTTAATTAATTAATTAATTTATTTTTTAAGAAAAAAGCAAAAGCTCTTGCTAAGAATTCTGAAGTTGTAGAAAATGGTGAAAAAGAAAATTCCTCTGACAATAAGGTAAGCTTTTAATTATTTTAACCAATTTTTAGTTAAGAATATTCTAGGTACTGTTGGTTGGCTAATAGCATTTTTGGGTTTTTAGGTTTTTAAAAATTTGGTAATAAAATAAAACTTTTAAATTGTAAACGAATTTCCGATAGTATTTAGAATTGTATTTGTTATAAAATTGTTTATATATAATTTTTTAAATTAATCATTTGTTCTATTTACATTTTATTGGAATGGTCAGATTTAATTTTTAACATTTAAAATTTTGCACTAAAAAGACAAATGTATTCTCGTTCTCGTGAATAGTTTGATACCAATTGACCATGAATCATTCATTTTTTTTTATTGTAAGAACTATGGAGATTATAAAGCTTTTATGCACCACTATAAGTATACCAATTACTGTAATTTTTATAAATATTTTTTTTAAAAATTATTAACTGAAATCAGAATTTATAATACTTTCATCAAAGATTGATTAAAATCATGAGGCAGGAAATAACTATGATGATGTATGATGGCAGGAATAACTAATGATTATGTAATTTATCATTAAAGAGACTTTGAGTAAAAAAAATATATATATATATATATATATATTTGCTTTTCTTAAATTTGGTTTATGCTTTTCAGTACTATTCCCATTATAGCAACCATTAAAACCGCTGATAAATAAAATTGTGTTTGTGAATCCATTGTTGCTTTGTAATTTAAACCTCCTATTAACCCCCAACTTAACTGTTCATTCCTATATAGTAACTGAATATTTAAGTTTCAAAGAAATTATTTAAAACAGTTTCTTCAATATTATTGTACATTAAATCTGGAGCATCTAAAATTCCCTCTACATAAAAAATGACAAGCCATCCTAAATTCACATCCAAGTATTTGTGATCGATGATCATAACACTAGTTAAATATAGATTAATTCACACTAGTTATAAAAGTGTATATTACACTGTTGTGTAGACATAACATAAAGTACCTTATGCAGTCAATTTGATTTTTAAAAAAAAATGGAATGGCATAATCTGTGCAAATTTCTTTTCAAATGGTACAAAAAAACTTAGCAATTTGAATTTTAATATTTGAAAATTTTATGTACTATTTTTGTAAAATGTTAGTTCTAGATTCTTGTATATTTTATTTCAAAATAATAGAACTACAATTTATACTTGGCATCTCTTACATATTATATTAATATTTTTTCTGGTAGAATAATAAATGTGATTAGAGATAAAAGTAAACTTATAAATAATTATGTCCCACTTCCAATCAGTTACAATGAAATCATATTGTTTTTAATAGTGATGTTTTAATGTATTTTTACCTTTAGTACTACAATGTTTTTCACTGACTTTTTTTTAAATTCTTTTTATTAAGGCCTCAGATGATGAAGAGGATGAAGCAGACAAAGGAAAAGTCAAACCTAATGCTGGAAATGGGTGTGATTTACCGAATTATAGATGGGTACAGACTCTCTCTGAAGTAGAGGTGTGTAATTTTGTTTTCTGTACTTGTGTTGGCATTTAAAGAAGAGGTAGAAACTTGTATACTATGTAGTACTTGTGTCTTGGTATTTGAAGTAGAGGTTCAAAATGTAGAGAAAGCATAGAAAAAAATTACAGAATAATGAAAAAAAAAATAAGATTATTATTTATGTTTGAAAAAACATATAGTAAAGATCCTGGGGGGGGATATAATATATTTTTAATTTGTATATATTGAGTGCTCCTCACACTATTGTATTGATATATTTTGCTTTGGCTATGTTAATACAATATTAGAAAGCACTCCTTTCTGCAAAGATAATCGTGTGAGCTGATGAAGTGATTAAATATTTTTTTCTCTGGATTTTTATTAATTTTTTAAAAATATTTTTTTTTCATTATTCTCTAATTTTTTCCACGTTTTCTCTACATTTTTAACTTATTTTATGAGTTCTATATACTTGCAGCTTATGTGGAGTAAATAAAACTTTTTGGTTTTCTTCTTTTTGTATTTATTGTGCTATATATATGCATTAAAAAACCATTTATTCGGTTTCGAGAAAACCGGGAAAAGTTATCTCGGTTTTAACTCCATTTTGTACTAGAATGATTGAGGGAGGAGTGGAAATTTTACTTATCCTTAAAGTTGAGTAAAGGGAGATATGGGGTGATATTTTTCTCCCCATTTTCATGTTCACAGAAGAAATGTTTCATTTTCTTCTGTGTGTCCGAAACAGTCAGTGGTTTTCTGGTAAGTTGTTGTCAATCATACTTACAGGCCCTGTGGCAAAATTTTTTCAGGCTTTCTGCGACACACCCCTCTAGTACTAATATCTTTCTACAAGATACTCTTAAAAGTAACAAATATACATGTTACTAATTTAAAGTAACAGAAGCATCAAAGAAAAAAAAACTTTTTTAATTGAATATGTAATATTTTTTTTATTTTAATATTATGTCAAAATTTTTGTATTTTGTAGGAGGAAAAGACACTAATCATTTTTTTCGTCTTTTGTAAATCATCATCGCATTAAAAAAAATCGGGAAATCCGTAGCAGTAACTACCGGGGAAAAAAAGATTGACGGCAAAATTACGCGAATCGGACTGTTCAGAAATAGATTACTAAATGCGTGTTTTCATTTTGAGATTCAGTTGTTGTAATAAATAATAAAGTATTAAAAATATTTGATTTTGAGCTATGTGGAAATCAATAATACTAATTGCATAAAAAAATAGAGCAAAAATTTCTGCAGAAAAGAAAACCAGAACTTTTTTACTTTATTACTCTTTATTTTTCATTATTCTCAAATTAAGAACAGAAAAATCACAAGCATTTTTTGCCCACTCTGATAACGAGAAAAGTATCTTTTGAAAATAATTTTGAAGAAAAGAAAAAATCCTTCGAAAATTACTGCAGAAAAGAAAAACTTTAGTTTTTTACTTCCCAAATGAATAATGATTCTGCAAGAACTCTGTAACGTTCTGCGACAATGTCGCTGTGTTGCCTCGATTCTGCCACCGGGCATACAGGAGTGATATGCTGATTTCGTTTTCTCTTTTGTTTACGAAGGGGTGGGGGAAATGCATTGCACATGCATATCAGAGAACAGAAGACGAAAGAGAAGTAAAACGAAAAATATATCCCTATACTTTACTAATAAAAGATTTTAAAAAAAAGTGAAATGGAAATATTAATTTTGAATACAAAAACAATTTAAATATGGTGATTTTTTTTTTCTAAAAGAAAGTAGGAATATAGTTTAGCTTAATTTAATCATTAAAAAAAAATAATCAGAAGAAACTTGAGGAGTTAAGGAACTTGAAACTTCTGCCTCAAAAGTATTGATGTATTAGAAATTTTTTTTAATCCACTTAGTTGCACAATTTTTGTTATCCTCGATTTATTATGACAAATTGTTTTATAAATGCGAATAATGCATTATTATTACAATTAATACTTTATATGCTTGTATTATTATATTACTTTTAATGCTTAGACTATCTGAAAAAAAAATTTGATTTTTGCTTTATTTACCTTAAACTAACTCTTTAATGTGCAAAGCATGCATTGTTTTGTTACAAGTGAATAATTCTGCTCTATAGGTCATTTCCATGGTGTAAAACGAAAAAAGTGCTGTTGCTATGTCATTTTCTCACAGTGAAAATGTTTTGTATTATTTCTCCATCTTTAAAGGATATTGTTTATAATAACTGTCTTTAAAATATTTTATTTATAATATGTTTTAACTGTTTTTAGTTGAAAGTTCCTGTACCTGCCAACTTCAAGATTAAAGCAAGAGATGTAGTTGTTGATATTGCAAAAAAAGTAATGACTTTCCTCCATTCATTTAAAATCTTTTTCATTATCATTTTTCTTAAAGAATCACAATCTGTGAATATCTTGTTTTTAATTAACATATTAGCAAGATTATGTTATCTCTCAAAATGATTATAATTCAATTTGTACTGTTAGGTTTTCAGCAGTTTTATTTTCTTTGTTAAATACAAATTGGTTAATTTCTTTCGCAGCGTTAAAAAGAAAAAACTGCATCTGTAAGTTCAGAAATAGCTTGGACTAATATCTAGATTGTTACAAATATTACTTTTAAGGCGTTTCTTTGCTTAGATCTAGTGTTAATAAGCTTTTACCAATTTTATTCAGATAAATATGAAATAAAATAGATTATATTTTGATGCATTTAAAAATTATATACACTGTTACATGTTTACAACTGCTACTTAATATTTAACATGAATTAACAGCATGCCCGTCATATTGACTAAACTTGTTACCTGTCTGGTACTGTGTTTTACAATGTGTGCTAATATTACTACAGTAATTTCAGACAAAATAAATTTTATTACTTCAAATTTTGTTAAAATTTCTAACAAAGTTATTTATATATATTTTGAATAAGCAATATTCAAATTTTTTTTAAAAATAAGCTAGATTTTATAATTATTTATTATTTCTTTTATGTTTTCCACCAATAAGTATTAAACAATCTCATCTTTTATAAATCATAACATTGTGGAAAAAGTATTATTGAATTTCTTTAAAAAAATTATGAGTTAATATAATTAGTATAAGGATATAATATATAATTAGCATAAAAAAAGGCTAAATGTGAAATTGGATATGTGACTCATACAAAAATAAGAAATATAATGAAATTGTATTAAAAATTGAATTAACAATATATTTTTATGAATCATACAAGATTTTCAATGTTTTTTTAAATTTTTTCCCCTGTTAAAAGGGAATAAAATGGAAAGGAATATCTTAATTCTATAACATTTGCTTAAATTCACATTGAGTGTATTTACATCCTTACCATTCTAGCACCTAAAAGTTGGACTTAAAGGTCATCCTCCTATAATCGATGGGGAGTTATTTAATAACATAAAAGTAGAAGAGTGTTGCTGGATTATGGAAGATAGTAAGACTATTGCAATTACCTTAGAAAAAGTGAGTTCTATTCTCTCTTAGATTTTATCTTCAAAACAACAATTTTTAATTTAAGTATTTTAAAACTTAGTGACTTTGTTTAACTTGCAATCTTATTTATTGACAGGAAGTCACTATCATTACAATTTATAATTTTTTAAGCTTAAGTGAATGATGATTTAAAAGCTTGTAGCCATGAAATCTTTCATTGCTGAAGATAGTTATTTTTTAATTATCATCTTCATAATTAATCCTTGTAGCCTTCTTTCATAGTTGTTAAAGCATTGAGTTATCATTGTCAAGGGCTGATATTCTACATGTGGAGACAATTTGAAGACCACACTACTTCAGAATGTTTAGATACGAACCTATCTGAGAAGTGAAGGTGATTAGTGTGAAATTTTAACCATATTGCCATCAGCCTTCTTCACGATAACCAGCCTTGCCTGACACAGGCTATTACGAGATGTAAATATGCATGTACACGCATTGATGCATGTACATGTACCTGAAACACATTCCTCTCCTTCCTTTAATATATTTCATACCTATTGTATTGAAATAGGATTGTAGTAATTTAAATAAGCACATTTAGGTGTACTTTACTTGCTCAAATTTCGTCGCAAATCCGAATGGCTTTTGATAAATTTTTTTGGATCATTGCTACCTCGTGGTTTTTTAAACTTCAATATTTTTAGCATAAAATTATTACGGGTCACAAGTATTAAATCTCTGTGCTTTACTTGTGTTGATTTTATTGCAAGTCCAAATTATTTTTCCATTGTTATTTTGGTAGTTATTCCTAAACGTCTCTACATGGTTTTAAAAGCCCCGGTATTTTTACTACGCTGTTATTATGACGCTTAAATTTTGAATCTCGCATCACTTTTCTACATGCCTTATTTTTGTTGATCTTAGTTTAAATGCAAATAATGTTTTGATAGTTTTTTATTTAAAAAATTTCTGGTATTTTTGATATGCTTTGTTATTATGACTCACAAGTTTTGAATAGTGTAATAAAATAATCATTTTTTGACTTGATTTATGTAGATTTTAACATAAAAATAAGAGGTTTTCAATTTTGTTCTTTTTTTATTGATTTGTTGCTATGCTTATCCACATTTTTTCCAAATTCCTCATATTTTTAATATTAATATATTCGCAAGTTTTGAATCACATATTTAGATAATTATTTTTTGACATTTGTTCCAATTTTAATATAAATCTAACAGGTTTTCCAATCATTATTTTGGCAGTTGCAACTACAAATTTCCTTGTGGTGTTGAAAATTGCACAACATAATATTATTACAACTCAAGAAATCCGATTTTGTTTCAAATTTTTTGTAGCTTAAAACGAGCTTTTTTTAAAAACGTATGTATATCTATTTAAGATTTGTCAAACCTCTTATAATTTATTTAAAATAAAAATTTTAAAATTGAAGTATATTCTATACTAAATATTTAATCTTATTTTGCTCTGCAAAATTTTTTTTTTTAATTTAAATCATTTTAAATCCTATAAACTTTCTTTAAACTTAAATATTTGACTTACATTTATTTTACTCAATGAAATATTTTTTTTATTGTTAAGATTTATGTTGAAATGAACTTTTATATTATGTAATGTGATAAAAAAGTGTAAATATGTAAAATGATTTAAAATTGTATATTTTAAAAAAGTATGTTATGTAATGTGTGAACATAACTTTTTCCCTTCTGTTTTTATTTATTTCAATTAATCTGTTAGATAGAAAAACTTATCTTTTAAACAAACAAGTTAGTAAAACATATTTTTGCAAGAATTTTTTTTTTATTACAATTTTTGAGAAAAAAGTATAGTATGCTTTAAGCTTGTTTTGGCTGTAGATTCAGGTCTGTATAGCTTTGAAAATTTTCTTCAGACCTGGTAGTGAAATATGGTAAGCACTTGGAAACATTTAAAATACAGTACAGAACCCGTTATCCGGAAATCAGAAAACCGGAAAACCAAAAAACCGGAACGAAATTCGATAAATTTTCCCGCAATTTTTAAAAAAAAAATTTTTTTTCATCATAAGATTTTAGGATTTTTCTTTCTTTTTTGAAAGATTTTTACCTTACCATCATTTCAGAAATAATCATTAGTGTATTACTTCATCGTTTTTTCTTATTTTCAAGATTATTTCCAAATATTTTTTTTTATTTTATTAGTTGGGTTTAACACTAAAAAAAGGGCTTTTTGTAGCTATTCAGAAAACCGGAAAAATCAGTTATCCGGAATAGCGATAGTCCCGATCGTTCCGGATAATCGGTTCTCTACTGTATTTTATTTTAATAGGTTTTCATGTTATTTTATTCGATAGTTTTAAACATCAAATGGAATTTAATGTTTAGAAAAAGTATATATTATATCTGTGAAATAATTTTGATTAGTTAGTGTATTCGCTTCAATAAAATGTTCCATTCAAAGCATGATTGCATAAAATTTTAATAAAAAGTACTCTGTACAGTTCAAATAAAATGTTTTTTTGAAAAAAATTAAGGATTTAATTTTTAACTCATTATTTAGGTATTATCTACGATAAAGTAAAATATTTCTAACAGGAATGGTACTTAAACTAATTGTATACTTTCTTTTGCTATTACTTTCATAATAATCATAAATCGTAATAATAAGTAAAGATAACAGCTGATTGATTTCAATTAATACACGATTTCAAATTTCTACGTATATTACACGTTAAATAAGTTTTTTTTTAAGGAAAATAATTTTAATTTTGTATTCAATTTAAATCAACTTTTGTTTCATTTTATAACCAAAATCATTTCTGAGTCTGCAGTTTTAGTTAAATAAAGTTCTAGATAAGCTTATAAACTTAATGCAGACTTTTAGCGCTAATAAAAGCAATCGAAATTTTCTTTAATGTTTAACCTCAACTNGCAACGCAATGAGAAATTTTTTTCAAAATGCGAGAAATTCGCTAATTTTGAAATTGGTTTATAAAATGCGCAAATTTCTCGCGGTAATTATTTTTTAATGCGAGAAAAGAAAAAAATATGCGAGATTCTCGCGCTGTAGTGAAAACACTGCACTATATGGAAAATTCTAATTGTGCATTTGAGTATTTACTTTTTGAGGCAATGATTATATCTAATTTTTGGCAGCTATTGATTTGTTAATAGTTTTTAAATCAAATATTTTTTATGCGATATTACAATTAGTTATTATGCATTTGAGTAACCCCTCTTTGAGGAGTCCAATTCGTGTGATTTCTTCGTCAACCTTTTTTCTGATAACAGATTACATGATTCTTATTTTTTTTAAATTGTGATGATTATTTACAAGATGCGAAGAAGGAAATAATTTGTGCGACGCCCCCACCCCCCTAAAAAAATGCGAGAATATCACCCATAATATTGGAATAAAAAATTATTACTTGTTCAATTTTAAAAAAATTATATTTTTTTTTTGGAAACACAGTGTTTTTGTCATTTTAAATTAGTAACGTGTATGTTATTATTAAAAGTATCTTGCAGAAAGATAGTGTTAGAAAGTTTTGTCGCAGAAAGCTCAAAAAAATTCTGCCACAGGGGCTTTATTAAACTAGTTCATTTACTACAGCATTATTTGTTTTAAGTATATTGGGCTGTTCCTTTTTTCCATAAGTTTTTTCAGCAATTATTACTAGTACAGTTTTCCCAATGCAGTTCATATGAGAGCACAGTGATTGTTGTGTTTCCTCTTAATATATTGTGTATAATATGTACAGAGAATATTTGTTTCCAGATTTGAATGGCAACCCTGACTACCCTCTCTTACCCCCAGGCTTTGTTTTTTTTAAAGTAAAATAAATATCTTAATCTGAACCCTCAATTCCAAATCCTTTGACTTGAGCTATACAAATGTTTAAAATGTAGTAACACTATTGAAATAAATGTTGAGTAAACTTAATGACATATTGATTACTTTTCATGATTTCAGATCAATAAAATGGAATGGTGGAATAAACTAGTTTTAACTGATCCTGAAATCAACACCAAGAAAGTTAATCCTGAACCATCTAAGGTATTTATTACTTACTCTTATTTCTTTTGTGGCAGTAAGAGCGCATAATTGACCATTTTGATCAGCCTGTGTTGGTACCGAGGGTGTGCGGTATCGGTCCTTGTTAAACCATATTTTGAGAAATGCTTAACATCAATAATATCTATGGTTTATTTAATACTATAGACATATAAATTTTTGAAAAAGTAGCCTCTGTTAAAAAGCCTTTTACTGGCCACCGAATACTAACAAATTTGATTTTGCCCTACAGTTACTGAACTTAATAATGTAATTTTTTGTTTTTGTTTAACAAAATCTATTTAATTGCGCTTTTGGTTTTATGCATTTATGTCACACTTTTTACATTCCCATTACTTTTTCTTCCTTATGCCAATTTTTTTAAATATATATTTCATGGTGTGTAACATTTTTTAAAGGTGCTTATTTTTGTGTTTTAAAAGCCTTTAAGGGTGCTTTTTTTGCCTTTTTTTGCCTTTGGTGCTTTTTTTGCTTAATTTTCCCTTTGAAAATTTCATATTTTTCTTTACAATGTGAATTTACGTCATGTATTATGCAAAAGTGTGCTTTTCACATAGTTCTATTAAATTTTTCACACTTCATTCAACCACAATCTATTTCAGTGTGCCGTCGGTTCATAGCGCGTGAAAGTGCCAATAATTTTACAGGTTTGATGAAATGCTTGCGAGTCCGCATGTGCGTGTAGTGAGTTGAGTTCGGTGAAATTATTTCACTCTCGTGTGCAATTCTGCTGAATTTTGCGAGACATTCTCAATTTCAAGCTTCCTTTTTCCAACCTCTGAAATCGAACCGAAAAATATGTTGATCATTTTTTTTAATGGCTAATGTAATCAAGAAAAAATTCTTTGTCAAAAACTAGTTATTTTATCATGATTATGTAAAGTCTTTCAAAATCATTTCGCATTTTGTTAACTGTATTGCAATAGATAGTGCTTAAAAATATTTTTGAGTGCTTAAAAGGTGCTAATTCAGGGAGAACGGGAAAAACCTGGAAAATACAGGGAATTTAAAAATCACCTAAAATAACAGGGAAAATGCAGGAAATTTGGATTTTTTCTTTACAAACTGGGAAAATACAGGGAATTTTGTTTCTTTTGTCTTTTAAAAAATGGTGACTACTCAAAGCGTAATCTATAGGATATTTAACTATGATATTTCAGCTGTACTAAACTATTTCATTTACTATAGCATTATTTAAGAATGCTGTTTTCTAGCAAGTAAAACTAATATATATAGTTTGCCCAATATAGCTCACACAAGAGCTCAGTAATTGTTGTTTCCTCTTAAAATATCACATATAATATGTACAGTCCGCAAAAAAAAAAGATATCACCCTGAATAACTTTTGTTCTAATGATCGGATTTTCACGAACTAATTGTCAATCTTAATGGTTTCTGGGGGTGACCTCAAATATGCTAATTAATTACTGCTAACTATTAATTAAGTTACGAAATCAGACACAAAAACGTACTTTCTCTGAATAAACATATATTTTTTTTTACATATTTGGTTTCTTAATCTTCAAAATATAGGGGGTAGCCGCAATCTGGGAAATGTGGTCCCCATAGTTTGGGCAGGAGAGCGATTCAAAGTTTGGACCCCTTAATGTTAAATTCACTTTTTGCGTTTTTAGTCATATTTTAAAAGCTAATTAAGCAATTAAAAAAAAAAATTACACCCACTCATAAAACTCATTTACCCAAAGATAATTTCTTGAAAAAAATAATTTTTAATAATTAATTATTATTTTTTATTAATTAATTAAATTGAGGAAGAAAAATTTTTGAATTATAAGGTATGAATTTTTTTATACCATATTAATTCTACATATGTTTCAATTGAAAAATCTAAATTTTCAACTGTTTTTATTTATTAGGAGCTGAGAAAAATTAAAATTAATTATTTTTAAAAAAATAATTTGGCGACAATGAAAAAATATTTAAATGGGGCGATTAATATTAAAATGTGATCAACTTTCGAGAAACTTGACTTCGCGTGCGTAGCGTAAAATTTCATTCATATTTTTTTTGCCAATAATCGTTTGCTAATCTTTTTATTTTTATATCTTTCAAACTATAAAATACAATGTTTCTTAATAATTTTTTTGCAATTTAGGGAAGAAATTTGAATAAAACATTTTGAATTAAAAACACTTTATTCAAGGAGTGTGTAGTTTCATAAAAGCATGCTTCTGATAGAATATGATTATACACCAAATTGTGCTTATTTAATGTGATTATTTTTTTATTTTGTTTTTCAATAACTGATACAATTTCAATAATATACACGCGTATGCATAGAATTCAAATAACATATTTATCAATTTCTTGAATATATATTTTATGAATATTAATAAAATTACGTTGTCAGCATTTTTAATTATCTTAAAACTTCTTTACATCTTATATATCGCCTTAATCTTAAAATAAATTTGTAAATTACCTATCTGCGCGTGTTTC